TTTTTTAAATTTGAACAACTAGCTAGAACAATGTTTTTTAATCACTTCATATTTTTCAGACTGTCCTCCTTCTATTCCTCTGACTTCATTTAGTGGATTGTTTTTGGAAATCTGCTCAGTAGTTCTAATATGATAAAGACATGAAAATGAGAATTAGTACTGTGGTCTGAAGAGCTAAGTACGGAAACTGTCTTTACGGAATGCAGGGTGCAGGCTGCTGCAAACGGACGTCTCACATCTAGCCTCTTCACAAACACACATTTTCAAAAATTCAGGCCGTTCTCAGGCCACTTACACGGCGATTTCACCTCTACGGGTGCGAGTAAATAACAACGACCAAGACGCGGGTCTGGATGTGAAGTACGTACGTAGGGCTCTACCGTTTTAAACGGATGAAGCTATAGCTCTTGTGTGGGGGGGTGGCCTGAAGACCCCTGCTCAACTGCTGGCACTGTCTCTGGCAAACTGAGTGACCTTGAACATGTCCCCAAGCTTCGTCTTGGGTCCCAATTTATTCATCTATGAAAGGAGAAGCTTAGATTGGATGTCTCGGTTCTACAAGTCTGATAGCCTCTGTGAAGTATCTTAATTAGATTCTTTGCTATATATTCTTTATCCATAATAGAGATTGGGGACAGGCTTTTAAACAATTCAGACATATATCAATTGAAGAAACGAGATTTATTTTTAAAAATTGCTACAGGGTGTATGTGCTCACTGGAGAGAGATAAAGAGAGAGAGAGAAGGAAAGTGAGCAGGCACTCCGGGGGAATGGCCAGCCACAATCCCTTCTCTTCCGTCCTCCTCTCAGGATTTTGGGCACGCACGCACATGTGCCCAGCAGGGTTTTCAAGCTGCCGGGTCCAGACTTGGCGCTGGCGGCCCTTGGGATCTCGCTCAGTAACCGCCGTGCCGTCAGCTAGCCCGGGAACTGGATGTCCTCTAAGTTCAAGCTGGAGACTTAATTCACCACTTGATAAAAATGACTGCTGAAAATATACCACTGGCTCTGGCTTTTGTGGAGTATGGAAATGGGCTCCAGAACCGCGCTAGCCGAGTGAAGTCCACGAGGGTACGGCCAGTGGGCAGCTGGGACGAGGGGCGCGTCAATCTACACGCAATTCTACCAGCATCTTCCTCAAGTTGGAACACGCAGGCCACAGAGGTAAGGGCTAACACGAGGCGGACCCCTTCCCCAGGAAGATAACTGACAAACTGAATGTGCACATGGACTTGGCAGGGGGCACGTCCTGCCTCGGCATGGCAATTCCTTCCCACAGAAGGCAGGTTAGGTGCCAGGAACCTGGAGAGGGAGGGAGTGAATACGCAGGTTGTGAAGCCACTCAGCTGGCTGGGGAGAGCGAGCTTTAAACCTTAACCCCACCCCACTACTAAGAAGGGGTGAGATCCTGCTCTGTCTGCCTCACAGAACTGCTGGCAGGACTACACTTGCCCAAACGCCGGGAAACCATGGAGGCGTGTGGTCCTGTTCTCATGGCTTATCGGCCCAGTTCTCCAGGCTGCTCCAACGGGAATCTTTCTGCAGTGAGACCTACTTCTGACACCTGCTGGAGCTTGATGTGTCCCGCCCTACTCATAGGATCCTCTTCTGAGCGGTCTCTACTGACATTCAGGGATGATGGCGGCGGGACAAAGTCTTTTTCTGAAGGCTGGCCATGACCTTACTGAGGCTCAGAGCTCCTTCTCTACTTTTATTTCAGCACTCAATGATACCGCCATTTTAAGATGGGATACGGGAAAAGCTTTCCTGCCTCAAATCACATCTTTCTCCTACTATATGACTTCTGTGTTTAAATACTTACTCTGATCTAGCTTAATCAGGAACGATTCAAGTATTTTTAAGTGTTTCATTGTTGTTATTCAATAGAAAACATTTAAAATACTCTGCTATTTTGGATTTTTTAAAGAACATAGGTAGGGGTAATTCATGTTCTCTCCTGCTCCTCTTTTCTTTTCTCCTTCAGCACAAAGGATTTCTTTCTTTTCTTTTCCTTCATTATTGTTTTAGAGAGATGTTTTGCTATAGGGTAAATGAGCTTGCTAGACACACAGAGAGACAGACAGAAAGTGAGAAATCTCACTCCCCAGGCAGGATGGCCATGCCACAATCCATTCTCCATTCTCCTCTTCAGATTTTTGGACATGCATGCACACATGCCCAGTATGAGTTTTAAGCTGCCGGGTCCAGGACTCGAACTGCAGTCGACTATGTGGGAGTCCAGCGACATAACTATTACACCATCTACTGGTCCCAACATAAAGGGTTTCTTATATGACTTTATAATGAACATTATTGACATTGAAAATTCTGTCCACTTTCGGATTTCTATAATACATTGGGTGGTTGGAAAAGTCATGACGTAATTTTGCATAAAAAAAAATGTCATGACTTTCCTGATGACCTAATAGCTAAGCTTGCTGCTTTTCTGTTTTGTTTTGCTTTGACTTACACCTTTGAAGCACAGCACTGGATATTGCTAGTTCATTAGAGATCAGTTCTTCATAGATAAAGGATGCTTTGGCTGGGTGGGTCATCAGAGACCATGTATTTTAACTTCCAAATGTTAGAACAAAGAAGGTGGAGGCTCAGCAAGCATGACCTTTATCCTAAAACAATGAGGCTGGGTGACCACAGAGCCAAGGCGTGGCCCCAGGTCTCAAGCCCTAACTCAGGCTCGTGCAGGACACTACACTGACATGCACTTAGGTCAGCATGTATCAAGGGACCTTCGTTATCACTTGCTGTCTACTAAATGATGCCCACGGGCCAGGGGGTGTAAACCCTTAGCTGCAGCTACTATTCTGCTGGGTCAGCCCCCTGAAGGAGCCCAAGGCCATGCAGCTGCGTTTACTTTTTCTGTAGATACCATGGGGCCGTGAACTTGTTCTCATGAGCCTTCTCAGCACGGCTCCCCAACCCTGCCCAGTTTCTGAGGTTGCAGAAAGAACAGTTTAAGGTCCTTCATTTTGGAGCGGTGTCGTGATCATGCTTTTGCTTGGTAAGACTCTGAATATAAAGGTGGGAGCTCCCTTTTCTACCCATGCTACTATTTGTTCTCTTAAATCAATTTTTTTGGGGGGGAGAGATTTTTGCTTTAAGGCGCATGCGCTTGCCAGAGAGAAAGAAAGTGAGCAATCACCTCCTAGTGGGAGATGGCCACGCCACAATCCCTTCTCCATTCTCCTCTTGAGAATTTTGGGCATGCATGCACATGCACCCAGAGTGAGTTTCAAGCTGCTGGGCCTAGGACTTGAACCATGGTTGACCATGTGGGAGTCCAGAGACATAACCACTACACCATCTGCTGGTTCCTTTTCTCTAAAATCTTAAAAGAATCGATATTTTTAACGTGTGTAGAATTTGCTGTATCGCACTTTGGCATTATGCACACCACTGAGGTAAAAAGCAGTGCACTACAATCACGTGACATGAGAGGCCATTCGCTCCACTAATAAACAATGGTGGACTCACAGCATTCTGAAACTAGATGAGTGAGGTTTATAAGATCAGCCATACTTAGCTAGAGGAAAGGACGAAGATCAGTAGGTTTTGACATTCATTTCTTCTTCAATTAAACAAACAAAACATCACGGAAAAAGAAAATTAAAGTCGCTATTTTAGAATTTTTTTCCCCCTCTCCAGGACTCGAAGAATTCATGATATTGAGGTGATAGAATCTGCCTTAAGTTTATGGATGAAAACTCATACCTTAACAACCTACAACCTTACTCTTTATTCCTCTTTATAGATAGTTCGGCATCTTGAGATCTGTCCTTTGTCTTGGTAAAAGAGCATATACTCACACAACTGACATATACATGTGTACATAAAGTGTAACTATGAAACTTGGTTTTCATAGACTTCTAGCCTCATGAAAAAGAAAATGCTTCCTCATGTATCAGAGAACTGACGGATTATATTTTTGATGCTTAAGAGAATTGCTTTGTGTGACATAAATGATATAAAGGTTCCTATTTCCACAGGCTATGAACATAGGCATAAGGACGTAAGTCCTTTTACACGCGTCAATGAATAAGTAGAGGATATATTCAAAGGCTAAAGTCTACGACCAAGGAAAGGGCAGGAATCCTTTAGAATCAAAATTTACATTAAACCTGGAGGCCCAAGTTGATCAGACAGAGCCTTGGCAACAGAACCCACAGACAGACTGACTGACTCAGAGACAGTTCGACCACCGCCAGCACGACCGTTGGGAGGGTTGCCAAGATGCCAAAGGCTGGGATTACCATCCAATGGCTGGCATCTGATACTCGTGTTTGAAGCTTTCTCTCTTCTACCAAATCCAATATTTTTGTTTGGCTCGAAAGTAGCAAGAATTCACAGATTTTTTTAGATCATTAAATGTTCTTATTTTCAAGAAATATAACATTAGTTGTAAAAGAGCACACTTTTTTCTCGGGAGTGTAAAGAAAATTGTGGTGAATTGCTTTACGCTCAAATAGAGAAATCAGTGTTAAAGTCTGTTTAAATCTTTATTTTTTTATTGGGTTACTCTTAATCCGCAAAATAATAAGTATGTGTTTATAATATAAAATAATAATAGTGCTTCATTGTACCATACACTCTTTAAAACTGGTGCTTTGTATGGGTCTACATTCCTCATCCCCGCCTGGCTCTACTTGAACAGAACCTCTGCCTGAATAAGCCATGCCCTGTGAGGGGTACCAACGATAACAAAGCTTGGCGAGGAGGAAGGGTGGCTGCTCAGCTATTTCCTAGAGTGGTGAGGAAGGGGGAGTGAAGAACAACCTTCTGAAAGACAAGAGATGATTGCTCCAGTTTCTCAAGGCAGTGAACACCTAAGTAGCTCGCTGACTGCTGGCCTGTGACACAGCCATTTTGGCCTCCGACCTGGGGCAAATCCTATCATTGGGCAATTAATCTGCCATCAAACTCTGTGTTAGGAATTCACAGACGTATTAAACTTGTACACAGCCTACTTGGAAGAAGAACTTACCTTTGGGTCTCTCAGGAACAGAGCCTTGAGAATCAGCGAGTGTACATCCCCGATGAGTGGGTAGTGCATGAGGAGGCCAAGACAGGTCTGGTAATTACTGGAGATGACTAGGGAGAGGGAGAGAAAGAGGCGAGCATCAACATCACTGAACACGAAGGACATTCACGTTCACACACAATGCAGCGAGCCACACCGAGCAAACCCGTCACTCAACTGATTTGATAAAAGGAAGTGGGGAGAAGGGCTCCTTACCCAATGACCTTCAAAGCAGCACGCTCCATTGTTAACTGCAATGTAACATACTCGCACTTATCCTGAGGGGAGCTGGAAAGAAGACTTTCAGATAGAGGTGTGTGTGTGTGTGTGTGTGTGTGTGTGTGTGTGCATGTTTGCATTACAAATAAATTCTCAGAGGCATGCATATTTATTACCATTTATGTGGCTGTGTACAAATGTCTCTGGTTTTGCTGCTTAGAAATTGGTAAGAAAAATCTTATAAATGGGGAAAAACGGTTTAAAATTCTTTATAGTACTATTTACCTTAATTATTATCTTCATAACTTACATGTTATATCTATTTTTTATATAAATATTACGTAATTCAGAATGAAAGAAAATACGTCCTCTAATTAGCTATTTTTCTAAAGGCAACATGAAATTTAGGGGAGAATATGGCAGCAGTGTTTGAAGAAAACATGCCAGAATCTTCACAGAGAAGTCTGTGTTCTGTGGCTTATCATTCCCCCCAAATAACCTAATTACCAGTACAATTATTAAACACATCTTTCCATGCCGGTCTGTGCACGGCACTTTATTTCAAGGCCATCGATTGCCACTGCTGTCACAGTTGGGCCACTAAGATGCTTGTTGTGGGGCTGGCAGGTGGTGTGGTAGTTAAGGGCGCTGGACTCCCACATGGCTGACCGTGGTTCAAGTCCCAGACCTGGCCGTTTGCGCTCTCTGTCTTACTCTGCTCCTCTCTGGTCAAATTTAAACAAACAAGCAAGCAAATAAATAAATAAATTCTTTAGGAAAGATGTTTTGGCGAGCTGCGCTGACTGCCACCACAGCACCAAGGGTGGAGAGACTTCGCCTTTCAACTTCCTGTGGCTGGAGTACAATCTTTTCATGAATCAATTACATGAAAAACGGGCCTCAGGAAAACGACAGAGACAACACGAATCACAAAATAGGCAATTATTTGTGATCAGAAATCTCCTTAATTATTAGAGGTATTTCTCTGCTATCGGAAACACCATTTCTGACTATAGTTTCCCAGTCTCCCCCGCCCCCGGTCCAAAGGCTTGACGGGGAAAGGAGATACGATGGGGCAAAATGAATAATCCCCCTCCAAGTAAGGGGCCACTCTATCACCTCACCTCCGCTGATCTCACAGCCTGTAATTCCATACACCTGCTTTCACTTGGAGAGCGCTCACTTAACCTACCCTTTCTACATCGGCTTAGACTCTTTCTCTTATTTGTTCTTGTTTTTTTATATTTCACATTCAGCTACTTGTCTTTCATTCCTCAGAAATTCCAAAAACTAGGAAACTGAGAGTAAGTAGAATACTTTCACGTGTCGTCTTCTCTGAGGTCTGAAGAGCAATTAGGTCCTAGACAATCAAATCATCTTATGACTCACAATATTATTTCTCCAAATGCTCTAATGAGGATACGTTGGTAACTGATCACGGCCGAAGAATTCTGTGAAAAGGGTTCTGGGCTCAGGATTCAAAGATGAGGGTTTGAATCCTGGGACCCTATTTGAACCTTTCATAAAGTTGTCTGAAAATTAAGTGACACAATCTGTGTGGATGACTTACAGCAGCTATTCAAAACCTCATTTAAGTAACTGCTGCGAGTTTAAGTTTAGTCATCGGGGAAACAACTTTCTGATGAAAAGAACTGTTTGCCTCGCTCATTCAACCCAATAATTATTTGCTGAGTATTTACTTCTCCAGCGGGCCCTATGCTAGGAAAGGATGCAGAAATGAAAAAACAAAGTCCTTGCTCTGAAGAAAGTCACAGCTCAGAAGATTGGACGTGGAACATCTCCTG